TTATTAGCTTCCTTTTCCTAACACAGTATGCATGAACACGCAGAATTTTATTTTATTTTTTTTTAAATTAGTGACCATTTTACCCATTACCTTTTAAGGCCTTGCAGATCAGATGTGGCCCACAGAACATAGGCTGAGAAACATATGATTAAACTTCCTGTGCCATAAGCTAATCTCTCCAAGGTTAGTTTACTTCATCTGACTGTTCCCATTAGACAACTCTAGTTTGTAGTTTTAATGTACATCAATACTATATTGTCAGTAATTGATACAATGTGAACATTTTAAGCTATTCATACTACAAAACAGGTACCAAAACCAAATACAACAATAAAGTAAGTTAGATCTTGGCAATGTGTTTTTTTTTTTAGTTGCCTTGAGATGATCAACATACATCGTCCAGAAGCCCAACCCTACTCTAGGTTTCCAGCCATGTTAATCCCTATGGGTGTGGTTGGACAGACTGACCTACAACTATTTGAAATAGATGCAAGTATTAGGTATGTAAATCTTCAGTCTGCAGCACACAGAAATTCACCGTATGAGATTCTTCTCATTTTAAGATCTGTGACTTAGTCCCCTAGCAAGGCAGAGATAAGAATCCAAATCCTGGGAAAGGAGGGCACTTCTTTAATGGATGGAAATTGGATAGATCTGCAAAGAGGACCATACTGGACCAACAGATAAAAGCTGGTGAACTTATAGATCAAGTATAGAGTAAAACCCATCTCCTATCACCTTGATTTCTAAAGTTGTGCAATGAATGAGTAATGCAGTGGAAAAAATCCAGTGCAGATCATCTGTTTTTCATTAAAAAAATACCTCACTTCAGAGCTGTTTTACTCTGCCATTTCCCATTGATTTCTTTTTCCAGCTGGTAAAAAGTCTTAGCTATTCGTTATGGTCTTTGCATTAACCTAGGAACCAGTTACACATAATGTGAAAGAACTGTCAGGGTCTTCTACATATAAATGTTTTTTTCTAGACAAAAAGGACATAAACTATTTCTCCTAAAAAACTTGTCTATTACCCAGTGCTTTGACTTTTATACCAAAGTCACTGGTAATTCTGCTGCAAAAATACTATAAAATACTTACTTGTCATCTCATGATCAGGCAAAACACATCAGTACATCCCAAGCAATGCCCACAATCATAATTCAGCTTCTTCAACTTGTCGCCTGGGGCCTCCGTCAGCTCCAGTAGTTGTACCTTCACCACCCCAACCCGGAACTGAAAGAAGCCATGAGTTTCCAGCATTTTTTGAACCCTTTAAGTTAAGGAAAGCTCCTCCTGGCCTCCCACTGTTTTACTCTGTCACTTGGATGGCCTTCCAAGTAGTGTTGGTCGTCTTTGGTTAAATGGTAAAGCAACCCAACTCCTTTCACAAAAGAAAGCAATAAATGCATATGAGCAAGAAAGTAACAGCATAAAATGAAAGGGACTTCAATAGCACAAACTTTATGAACTTTCATTATCCGTTTCTACTACATCTGTTCCTTGAAACACATAATCTGTAAAATTTGCAGAAACAATTCCTTACATAAGAGGCTCTTGAAACCATATGTGAAAATATGGGACTGAGTTCCTTATTTGCTGTATCCATAATAAACAGCATCCAAGATAACCGAATCCTGTTATGAGGCAAAGTTAACGCCCATTTAGATTTGTTAATTTTTTTGTAAACCTCTCCTAACTAGTGAGCAGTCCCCTTACTGGAGAGGCATACCAAAATGAAAGGAAAGACAGAGGTACCTCTGCAGGCTCAGGGAGGCCGGAAGGAGACAGAATAACTTCTGGGACTTGCAGAAATATGTTTTAATATATTAAGAAATGTCAAGATGTATTTGTCCAATTACCTTCATGATTAGTCCAACCCTTCTCCTAAAAGTTCTCCCCACATTAAATTATCTTCCTCAAGTTGTGCACTCCAAAATAGTGCAAGTTCAGAGACAAGACGAGCTTAGGGATCCCTAGCAGCTACATCACCAACAACTAAGATTTTCATACCACACACTGTCCCAAGTGCTGACAAATTGGTCCTCATTATTCCTGGGTCTAATTATAATGTATTTCCATTAGGATTTTTAAGTAAATGCTGTTTATTAATACCAAGACATACTGGTTGCCATACAGAAGTAGGCCTGTAGCACATAACCACGAGAGCAGCTTCAGACAAGACTGACTTGTCGAATCACAGAAAATACAACTTGGAGAAACCTCAGGAGATCATTTAGACTCTATTCCCAGCCCTAAGAGAGAGGAGATCAACAATAACGGCAAAGGCAGCACAGAGCTACAGAACCTATAGCTTAAAACACTTCTCAAATCTTCTGCAGCTTTTAAGGCAATGTCTGCTTCCCCTCCAGCGATACAGGACATCCTATCTTTTAAAACACATCTTAAATGATGCCTACAGATTAAGTGCTCACTAATAATAAAACTAGCTACAAGAATAAAACTTGTTCAAGAAGCGGATACCTATGTTTTATGGTACTTTTTTTTTTTTAAACTTCCATTTCCTGTGGCTTCGATGCATGTGTATATATATAGAAAGCAAGGGAAATTCCAAACAACATGCCACCCCACTATACTCAGAACAGCAGTGCCCTTACACTGTAAAAAAGGGAAGTCTCAAGCTCTTTTTCTACAAAATCAATGTGAATTCACAGTATGCTATAGCAATGTTTCCTAGTATTATGCTCCAGTACCTATTAGCCAGTGGGTTTCAGCTAAAAATCTAAAGAAATGCATACAAAGTATGAGGCGCATTTTTTCCCTTTCTGTTTATTATACCCACTTTTTCCTCCTCTTTTTACACTTGCTGCTAAGAAGCTCTCTGGGGCAGGAACACTCCTCCCGATGTCCCGTGTGCCTGATGTCTTGTGCCTACAGTGCTCGATAACCTCGTCAGGAACTCGAGGCATTTCCACAACCCGCGTAGCCCTGCTGTGGAAGGCACGGAACCAGACGGTGGGTTTTGAGGAAGCTCGTGCAAGTTGCATTTCTAGAAGATAAAAACAAAAAACAAAAACAAACAAAAAAAACGAACAAAAAACCCCTGTGAACCCAACTTGGCTTAACCATACACGTGGCCTTGCCATCCTGGCCAGCCCTCAGGCCCCCTTTGGAGGGTCTGGTTCAGGGGTGGTTGGGCAAAGCAGGGCCATCTGACAGTTCACACTGACCTCCTGGGTCACGATTCACTTTGGCTGAGGCTTTTACTCTCTAATTTATTGAGGAGTGGGACGGAGGAAAGAGCAGGGGGACTGGTTTGGCCCAGCTTGCAGATCCACCTCCATCCCCTCTCGCATGTCACCACTGCAACCCTCTTGTCTCTCCCCTCCTCCCCCATCCTGTATTCACTCAATCTCTTTGTCAAATCTATATTCACATACAAAGTGGATTTTTTTTGTTTGTTTGCTTTTTCTCCTGATAGGCACCTTCTTGGTAACACGTAAATATCACAGGCAGTTTTTACAGCAGGGGTGCATCTGCTGTTACACAGACCCGACGTTCACCCAGGCAGCTCTTTGGCCCGCGCCAGCACTGCCCTGCATCTCGCCGAGCTTTCTTGTCCCTGCTCCAGCCAGAGTTTCTGCTGCCGTGTCCCAGTCCTCCCCCTGTGCAGCGGTAGAGCGCAAAACGGTCTGACCGAACTGGATAGTGGCTTTTACAGCTTGATTCTCTGCTCTGCAGAAGTTTCAGAGCCATCTTCTCTTCTGAGATGCGAGTCCACGCAGGGGTTCATTGCACACGTCTCTAGCATGTAGGGTGAGGCATGAACCTCTGGTTGGGTGCATGTCAGAGGGGTACATCATGGGGATGGGGAGAGGGTGAGGGCCCAAGCCCATGGCAGGGCTGCCCAGCTCACGAGGCCCCAGGGAAGGCCTTGCTTCAGCTGCAGCCCTGCACCCCTCGCCGGGGCTGAGCCCAGCTGCAGCCGGTGCACAGACCACACTCGGCACCTGTGCTGGGCACCTGTGCCTCTGAAGCAGCAGGACAAAAACCAAGGCATGCATGTAGCAGAGAGCACAGGGCACACAAAAAACAAACACCAGCACTGGGAGCAACCTGACAATACAACCAGGTCTGCTCACAAAGCCCTCAGGCTTTTTCTGCAAGTTGCAAGGCAGGAAAAAGGTCTCAGATCGCACCACAGGGAAGGGTCTCCATCTCTCTAGGTCTTACCATACACACTGGCGCAGAGAAGAGGGGATCAGATCTCCTTGGACTACGGGATCCCAGGGCACAGGAGGGGCAAAGCAGTAAAGGAGGAAGCTCAGGCACCCACAGAGGAACCGGCCCTCTT